GAAGGCCAAAGCGGCTGACCTGCTCCTGGGCTTAGGGGAGACTCTGGGGCTTGGTGAACGGCACTCCACTGCCGAGAAGGTACAGGAAGCTCTAATGCACCACACGGTGTCCGAAGATGCATACACCTGGTACATCAACATGCGAAGGGTCAAACCCTTGCTCACAAGTGGGTGGGGGATGGGAACAGAGCGCTATCTATGCTGGCTGCTTCAACACAATGATGTCCGAGACTTGCACATTATCCCCAGGATGAAATCCAAGAAATACTTACCGTGAACTCCTCCGTTCAATACTCCCCCCTCCCAAATTGTGTCTTTGTTATTCATCTATTGCATAATGCCTTTCCTGTAGGCTGCTAGTTTGCATAAAAATGTTTTGCTTCTATTTTCAGACCAACCCCTAAAGGGTTTTCTTTAGAAATTCTAAAATATTCAGATAGAAGCTTAAATACTCTTTTCTCCTTCCGTTTTCCTTAGTGCAAATAAACCTGACTTATCAAGTCTTGCAAAAGATCTTTGAGCAGATGTATAAAAAAAGCACATATTTCTCTGATGACAGAGGCTAAACGTTTCACTCAAGCTTTGTTGTGGCCCTTCTAGTTAACAGCTGCATTGAAATCAACTTGTTTGTGATCAGAACATCAAATGTTCTGAAACACATTCTCCTTACTTATGATTCCTTATGTCACCCATGTTTAACTTTTAGCAGTACATTGACCCAAAGATGGAAGAAAAATCCCAATGGACTCTCATTCATTTGGATGACTTTCCATAACCTTTTTGAGCTGCCTGTAGCAAACTGCTTAAGGAAATACCTACTGTAGTGTTTGGGGAAACTATGTCGTAAACCCAGAAGCTTGTGGATGCAACACAACACAAGACAGAAAGACCAACAGACCACATTCAAACAAAAACAGAAACATTCTGTAGAGGTCCATTTGACTGTGTGTGATTTATCAGATCTAGCAATGATCACTAAGACAGACCACCTCACAAACACATTCTAACAGGAGAAACATAAGGGTTTTGCCAGAAGTAACAAATTATGCTATTCTGTCTACACTCAAATCCACAGCAACCATCGTCATTTTGAAACAAACCAGCCACCACTCAGAATTCATCCTCCTTTTTTGTATCTGTGTGTGGGCAAGTTTTTCTCTTGTTACAGCCTGCCCTTTAACTAACATCCAATGAAACAGAAATGTAATATGCAGAAGAATGTGATTATGATCTTTACACTGCTACTTCATATTAGTTATCATGTGTTAGTACTCTGGAGACATTTGATCCAAAATCATTTTAAATTTTGTTATTGCTTTCCCTGAGTGAATTCCTAATTTGCTTTGCTGATACCTTGCTTCACAGCTTGTGTTAAATCGCATGGTTTCCCTTTGAAATATTTACATCACCTGCTCAGGGCTTGAGCTAGGTAGAGATTTTATTTGGCCTGTACTACCCACTTTCTTATCTTCAATAAAACATTCAAACATTCGCCTTGTGGTTTAATTTGCTGTCTGAAGATCTGTTTTTCTTTGATTCATTCATACGACAAAATCACATTGCCAGCAATAGTAAATAGCTTTCCCAAATAAGATCATAACCCTTTCCAAATTGGAATCTCTAAATGATAATAATAATGATTAATTGCTTACACTTATACAGTGCTTTTCTGGACACTCCACTCAAAGCACTTTACAGGTAATGGGGATCCCCTCCACCACCACCAGTGTGCAGCCCCACCTGGATGCACCAGTACTCTCCCCACACACCAGCTCTCAGTGGGGAGGAGAGCAGAGTGATGAAGCCAGTTCAGAGAGGGGGATTATTAGGAGGCCATGACTGGTAACGGCCTGGGGGAAATTTGGCCAGGAAACTGGGGTAACACCTCTACTCTTTTCAAGAAACACCCTGGGATTTTTAATTACCACAGAGAGTCAGGACCTCAGTTTTACATTTCATCTGAAGAATGATGCCTTTTTACAGTATAATGTCCCCGTCACTATACTGGGCTATTAGGACCCACACAGACTGCAGGGTGAGCGCCCCCTACTGGCCCCACTAACACCTCTTTCAGCAGCAACCTCAGCTTTCCCAGGAGGTCTCCTATGCAGGTACTGACCAGGCTCACACCTGCTGAGCTTCAGTGGGCTGCCACTTGTGAGTTGCAGGGTGATATCGCTTCTGGCCAGTGTAGTGTACTGTAAATTATATTTTCGCTGTTTGCTATACCTCAGCACTGAAAGATGATGACTATTAACATCTTCAGGATTCACGTGTGCAAATTCCCCCAGCACCTACGGAAGTACTGGCATCCAGTGGAGGAGTAAGGCATTTTTTAGACTCATAGTACTCAGCACAGTAATGCACCTCTTTGTCTGGGGAATTTTGGTGACAGGCAGTAGATTAATTAATCAATGATTAATAAGATTAATGCATTTTAACTTCGAAAGGATAATGTAATCAGTTGTGTTGAAAAAAAATGGCTTATTATTTCAAGACGTTACGTTACTTCAGCAGTGAAACGGACCGTTTATTTCTATTGGCCTGGGGTACTTCTGAGACAATATAAGGTACAATGTACTTCAGTCTCAGTGAGAACATGGGCAGCTCAACTACTTGATGCTGGATGGAGAATGAAAAGCACTTTGGCAAATCAAATATCACTTGGCGACAATGAATCCTCTCTCCCCCCCCAAAAAAAAACAATCTTGGGATTTAATTTCTCCAACTCCCCGTGTGGGCGGTACTAACCTATCCCTCACAGCGGGGATATGGATCCACAACGATGCTATATATCTATATATTTTACGGATTTTTCACGGAGAAAACGCCACACCCACTTACATACATAATAGATTATTTCGAAACAAACACACCTTTAGATAACACACATTGAGATGTGTTAACCGACTTACATTTCCATGACACATGACAACCCTCCCCCCCCCATCTATCGCTTTGGTTCGGGCAGCAGCCCTTATAAAGACCCGTAGCTGAGTTTGGGTGGAGTTGTGAGACAATTTTGGGAGGGCTGGCGAGTGAGGTTTGTCCGGTAGCGCCGTAAGGTATGAAACTTTACGAGATCGGTAGGCTTGGTCGCGCTTTTCTTATGGAAGTCAGGAGGCGAGCACAATGCCTATTGTTATCCGCCGAAATACCTGCTGATTCCGTGGTAGTACCAGGAGCTAACTAACCTGTGGAGTCACAAACTCTTCAACTTTAGCAGCTATTCCCTTTTAATTAAGGGCAGAACATTCATGTGCTGATGTTTCTTTTTTTAAGCACTTGGTTAGTTCTGTGTTGGATATTACTGTGTTCTGTTCCTTGTAACTGTAACATTCACTTGTTCCATCAAGCAGATGGGACTATAATCGGGTAGATTTTAGTAAACTATACGAAATGAACAGTGCGTATTTTTGTAGGAGCTAGAATATTTTCCAGCTCGGTGTCTTTCGGTATCATTCACCTTCTGACTGGAAACTAATCAGATCAAGGTCCTTTTTTTAAAGCGGTGTAAAATTCATTCAAAGCCTGAATCCACCTTAGACGCGTTCTCACGTTTTCTTCATTTAACTTTTTTTTTAGCATTCTTCTTGCTTATAAAAAGCGGCTTCATGGATCCAGATTCCTTAGTGTCCCTGAGAGCATCAACATTGGAAAGTTCTCCCTTTAACTTAGATGGAGTAGGTCCTCAATCCTCCCCTGATCAGTGCTGCTGGTCAACTGACATAGGGGCTATGAGGCAGCTCTTCATTGGTGGATGAATGGGTGTCTGTCCTATACTTTAGGATGAGAAGTACCTTTTATGAATTCAAGGAATTGGCATACCGATCTTGTATGATCAGCTTTTGGTGCTGAGGAAAACCATCTTGTTAAAATGCAGCATACTGCCATGAGACCCTGAGAGGGAGGAGAGCCCTTATTGGGGGGGGGGGTCTTTCACACAGTTCACAATTAGTACATGGGATAATTGGGGCTTTATTAGTTGTGACATTTTATCCAATTAATTGAATATTGGCAGTAGGATTTCTCTGCCCAGTCACATGAGCTGAGCTTATTGAATGTTTTTTTCTTTGTATGCTTAAAACTGCAGCTTCACAAGTTCACCTTTTTGAACATTGAACACTTTTGAAATGAGTCTCAACTTGCAGCATGTAATTGCTTAAGTTTGCATAGCAAGGAGGAGCCTCATGGATGGGGGTATATATGGCCTCAGGATTAGAAAGTTTTTGCATTAATAGACTCCTTTGGGGGTGGGGACTGCAAGCACAGTTGTTTGTGTGTAGTACATTGTGCATACAAGATACTGGGAGGTAGCAGTTGGTGTCAAACTGAAAGCATTAAAGAAACAAAATGTGAGGTTTGAATACTTCTGCACAGCACTGGTTCTTTTTCCTGTGCAATTACTCTTCTAGAGTATTGATAACTCCTGAATAGGCTGTTCTCTTGATAAGCTACTTCTCATGGGCTTACAATCTAGTTCTACTGCCTCAGTGTACAATATCTAACACCGCTGGGTCCTCCTGTCCACAGGATGGCACTGCTCAGCTTCCCTGTTCC